ATCAATGTTTCGCTAAAAAGGCTACTTAAATATGCCCCAGAATGCTGGAAAACACATCACAGAGAGTTTCGCATTTCAAAATTTTTGCGGGGAGCATGCCCCCTGGACCCCCTAGAGAGGCTGTTGCATAGCAACACGCCGTGCTTACTCCGCAAGCACAATATTTACTTCAGCCGCCTACTCAGTTCAGATCAGACACCTATTACATTTTCTAATGACAACCCTGGGTGAGTGATGCCGTGCAATAAAAGTGAGAAATTGTCATGGCAAGATGTGTGCGTGCAGGCTTGCTAGACCCATGGGAACTGAACAAATGACTTGTGTCAAAGTACAAAAACTAATCTCACATTGAGGCATAGTGAGCATACAAGCACTTACAGTTAATGACATTAGAGATGGGTACCTGCAAGTGAAACTTGATGAAGACCTAAGTAATCTATACAATGTTACACATTTCATTTTGCAGATATAATTAGTGGCTCAAATTGCCTTCTGAAATATCCAGTGCACCAGAACTCAATTAAAGACATTTTGAGGGAAACATAAAAAGAACTGGAGGGAATGACTCCAAAAGCTGACAGCTTGTAAAAAAAAGCATTAATAAATAGAATTTTGTAAAATAATGACAGAAAAAAATTGCAATACTGTATATGAATAGGAAAAAAAAACATAGACAAGTTTGTCTTTAGGGAGAAGAAGCTGAAATACTGCAGACAAATTTTGATCTCTGAGGGTATACCCTTTACTGGCTACCAGATCTGGCCAAAGTCAAGGCTATAACCCAGTTGTCATTAGGCCACATAGCAAAACTTGACCCTATCTGACTACTACAAGGTCTTAGCAACCAACCAGTTTGCACTCCCTATCATGAGCTATTTCATGTGGACCCAAGTGTGGCCAATCGCCGACCTTCAAAGAATTGACCAGGAGACACGAAAAATTACGGTAGAGAATGGTGCGAGACATCCCTTGGCATCTACAGACCAGCTTTACATCCCTTGGAGTTCAGGGGGACGAGGACTCAAGTCGGTAGAATCTGAGTATAAGTTAATTAAGATCAAGGCCGCGGTTAAACTGTGTGCAAATACAGACCCAACGTTAAAGCTGGTACGAGAGTTTGAAGAGAGGGCTGTCGAAAAGGGGCAACGTTCTATGCTGAAGGATGCGAGTGGTTTCACAAGGGAGCTTGGGATTGAGCTCGAACTAGAGCACCCAGAGCGAGTTGGCCGGACAGAGGAAGGGGAACTGGTTGACAAGAAGAAGATCGGAGTGTTCGCCATGAAAGCCTTGTACACTAAGCATCGCCAGGGGATCGAAGAACAGAGATGGCAAGGCAAGTTAGTGGCCAATCGGTGGCAAGATGATCAGCTCCACAGGAGCTGTTTCTCACTATTGTGTGAATGGAGAACTGCTCCCACTTACACCATAGCAGCACTTGAGGAGTTATACCAACAGCTCCTCCCAACAAAGGTCTATAGCACCAGAAAAGCTAACACAATCTGTGACTCGGATGTGAGGTGTAGACTATGCGAGAAGGGACAGGAGAGTGTGGCACATGTGCTAGCAGGGTGTAGTGCGCTTGCTCAGACAGCGTACCTTACTAGGCGCAATGCAGCATTTAAGATCCTCTTTTTCGAGCTATTGAGGGATCATGGGCTTGTTAACACGGTACCTCCACGGTATTCACCCACCCAACCCAAACCCATCTATGAGGGAGAGAAGGTGACGGCATACTGGGATGTTCCAGTCTTTGCAGACCAGACGGAAGTCAGGGCCAACAGGATAGACGGTCGGATAGTGGACAAGG